AGGAATTCATGACTCATCTAAAATTTTGTTTTTGCTTCTCTTTGGGCTTAATTCTCTCTCTCTCTTTATTAAAAATCTCATAGCTCTTGCTTTATTTCTGAGCCTGCTTATTGTTTCTGCATATATAGCTGTTCTTTCTATGTGCTAAAATGCTATTTTATTATACATGGGTACCCAACATGTACAAGGATATATCATTAGTTTTATAAAGGAAGTCAAAGTGAAAAATGAATTCAATATAACACATTTTGCTTTAAGTACTGAAGCCTCACCACGTAAAGTTGTTGTGGGGTTTTTTTTTTTTTTTTTAAGGATTTCAAAGTAGGCATCAACCAAATCAGACTTGAAATATCTGTGTCTAGAGAAATAACAATCACTTTAGCAGCCTCTATAATTCTTAGAAGCCTGACACTGAAGAGTTCCTTAAAGACCCAGCAAAATATCCCAACACACCTAAAGGTTCTGCATTTTACCTAAACCTCACAAAGTGTAGATGTTATCTGTTTATTAAAGAGCAGCACTTGCCTTGTTGAAATCTAGTGGTCCCTAAGCCCGTGTCTTCACTAATAAAGATTAATAGACAATGGATAGAAGCTAAGTGTGCCCTGTCTAAATATCCTCTTTTATTTGGCAATTAGCAAGATACATTTTTGCCCAGGGATCCAAAACATTTGGTTAAAAATATTAAGGTTAAACATTTCCTCACGTAAGAAAGTTTTGTAATTCCCATTTTACATGTCTAAAAAAAAAATAAAAAATGACAGCTCAAGTTATGTGCATCAGAGTCTGTCTTTATACCTTTGATTCTGTTTCCTCAATTCCAAAACAAGAGAGTTAAACTATAATCTCTAAGGTTCTTTTCAGACCTAACAGTCTATGATATAACCAGAGAAAGAAGAAAAATAAAGAAGTCATTACAAATCAAAGAAACGTTTTCAGGAGATGACATTCTCAGCACAAATATAAGTTAATCATTTAGAAATATTTGGTAAACACTGTTGAAAATAAAAATAGGGCGGCTACTCCTGACAAATTTATTAGAAATGTGTCTTTCAAACACTTCACAAGCTTGATATGATCAAAGAAAATGTTTTCTCAGCTCATAGTGTTTCATTACATTTAGATCCCCTTCAAAATCAGGACACTGAAAAATAGCACCTCTGCTCTGTGGAAACCAGCAAGTAATGTTTAGGGCTCATCTGAAACACTTGAAGAAATTATTTCTCAAAGAAGAGTCCTGAGGCTCACCTGCAGAGTTTTTCAGGTTCTTGTTAAAAGTACATGCAAGAATTTAGTCAGAAATTAAGAATCTGGATTTTAAACGGGCTACTCAATTGTTGGAGTCCCTGGGTGGTGTGAGTGGTTAATGCCCTTGGCTACTAGTAGACAGATCGCCAGGTCAAGTCCACCCACAGTCTCCTCAGAAGAAAGGCTTGGCTGTCTCCTGAAAAAATCAGCCATTGAAAACCCTATGGAGCACAGCTCTACTCTGATACACAGGACATTGCCATGAGTCAGCGTCAACTCTGTGGCAACTGGTTGGCAACTCAACTGTTACTTACGCATGCTAAAGTTTGAGAACCATAGCTTGAGGTTGCATACCTTTGTGTGTGTATGTGCTGTTTTAAATCAAAGGCATCATCTGACTTTCCTTCTCCTCCCCAGCCCTTACCCAGTGTCATCTGTCCTTTATTAGCCTTTTGCTTAAGATTTAGTCCTAATATCCCATCTTTCTTTTTTACTTCCATGCTTTAGAAGGAAAAGTAAACAGTCATTTGGGTAATTAAGGTGATCAAACATAATGAAATATTACCAAACTCCATTCCTAAGGAAAAGTCCCCTCACCTAGATGCATGATAGCTATTTTTCTTTTTAAATCTTTTGTGGTCTTCTGCTGTATTAACTCCCTTAACTGCCCTCTGTGCCTGGCCTGGCTTGTAACAGTCTGCCTATCTCTTGCCATGGAGTTTGTCTTAGATCCGTTAGAATTGAATTCCCTAGATCTCAAAGCTTTCTCTCTCTATCTTTCTCTCTCCCTGTCTCTGTCTCTCTCAGAGGACACAAAAGGGTTCATTGATCACTAATAATTAGTTGGCACCATTTAACCTAGAACCAAGGTTGTAACATGTCGTCATGTATGTAAAGCATTAGCTGGAGATCTCACCACATGTACTCTGTCCTTCAGCTGACTGTCCTCCAGACCCCTCCACCACAGGTATCTTTGCTTTCCAGAGAGAGACCCTGACTCATGCAAACAGTTAACACTCTTGTCTGATAACTGAAAGGTTAGAGATTCAGGCCCACCTAGAGACACCTCAAAAGAAGGCTTGGTGACCTGCTTCCAATAAATCAGTGATCAAAAACCTTATGGAGCATGATTCTACTCAAACACACATGCAGTGGTCATAAATCAGAATCAACTTGATGACAACTGATATGCCAGACAGTGGAGGCCAGATATTAGACATTTTCATATACTCCCTTACACCCTCTTCCTACCCCCCAGTGCATCACTGGGACTTATGGATTAAAAAAAAGAAAAAGAAAAAGGAGCTCTGGTAGCATAGTGCCTAAGGCATTTGACTGCTAACCAGAAGTCTGGCGGTTCAAACCCACCAGCCACTCCTCAGAAGGAAGGTTGGGCAATTTACTTCCTTAGTGATACTGCCTCAGAAACCCAAGGAGGAGGTTGCTTTGAGTTGGGTTCGACTCGACAGCAGTGCATTTGGTTTGGGACTTAATGGGTACTCAATAAATATTAACTTAATTAACGTCTCTTCTCCCATTCACCACTATTCCACGTCTTGACTGTGCCTCTATCTAACTTCCTTTCAAAATGTCCTGCTTAACAGCCTTGCTTCATCCTCAAGGGGACCAAGCTACAAATTCTACACACCCCAGGGAATCTCTGTAACCAATAGTTATTACATGCCATTAAACAGCTAAAATCCTGCATAGGGAATTCTTACTTCTGTGTACCATGGGAAATTATAACTGAAAGAGAAGGAGGAACAGAAACATAAAAGAACTGACCTCCACACTATGTGCATTCTGCACTATTGTATTTAATTCACGGTATTTATGATCATTTATGATCCATTTATTAGATAATAGTACCCATAGAGTCTTGAACAATCCATTTCATTACTGTGATGGAATGTCTTCACTTTTTCTGAATATAATGTTTACATTGCTCATTATAAAAAGAAAATCCTGACAATTTGGAAAAGTATAAAGATGAAGGAATAAACAACTATAAATCTACTTCTAAATGATAACCTAGTTGTTGTTCATGTATAGTCAATAGGCGCACACAAATACATACACACAGAAAGTGTTACAGAAAAATAGATTGTATACATTTTTATAACCTGCTTTCTTTCTTAGCAACTGACATGGTAATCTTCCTATGTCCGTAAATATCTGCCTATCTTATCATATTGAAGATTCCATTGTATGAATTCACTATTATCCATGTAACCTATTCCTCAGTATTAAGCATCTAAGTTGTTTCTACTTTGTCTCAATCATAAATGAGTCTATAAATAACATTCTTATATCTATCTATATCTTACATGTTTTTCCAGTTACTTTCTTAGTATAAATTCCTTACATTTGAATTTGTGAGTCATTGCACTTCCACATTTTAAAAACTTTTATATATCACAAAATCATCCTTCAGAAACACTGGAATAACTTAATTTCCAAATAGGTATTCTTTTATGTTTCTGTTTGACTGAGGCTAGAAGGAGAATTGTGTTTGAAATGTCAGGCTGTTACCAAATGGCCAAGGGAAATGTTTCTCTCTACCTGGTTGCTTTGTTTTATATTTCCATTTTTGCAGCATTACAGGTAATATTACATTTATATTATAGACAGCATTAATTTTATGAAGTATTAGTAATTGCCAATAATAGGAGAGTAACACAGCATACTTCCTAATTTACCTGAGCATAATGCTTTGTCTAACACTGTGTTTCCCCTTTGTTTTCCACATGATGATTTATTTGAGTAATTTAGCTTCTCAACCCCAAGTGAAATGTGGATTTTATAACACAGATCATTCATTTGTTTATTCTTAAATGGCTTCTAAGGATTAACATGTTCTAAATACAGTTAAAGCACTCACTCTCCTCCCTAAATTATTCATATTTGGGGGAGAATTTCAGGCAAATGCCTGATTTCAGTCTTCCACATGAGTTGTTGTCTCAGTACATTTTACACAAAGGAAACAAAGCATAAAATGTTGTAACTTGGTGAAAACAAACCCCAGGTGCACACGAATAAAGAAAGGTAGAGGAAAAGCATATGGCAGACAAGCAGAAAGGAGCAGATGCCAGACGGAAAGAGTCAATGGAAGAGGCTGCCTAGGGTGTGGAAATGGAAAAGCCAAAATGTAAGGAGAGACTTTTCCATTTTTCAAAGCAGAAAGAATTCCAGGACTAGCAGGAGTCACATGAAAACCGAGTGGTATATATTAGCCACTAGGTCCAATTTTCTCCACCAAAAATATTAAACATCATTGACTGCAACAGTATGGGAAAGCAGTCCATTCCAGTGGGTCTTTCATGCCAAATGTCTCAGAATTCTGCAGGTTGAAATAAAGATATGGTCAAACACTGACATTATTCAAAATACCCCCATTGTATGGCTCTCAAAATCAAGTAGCCAGAATTTTATTGAAGACTACTATGTAGTTTACAGGGAGCTCTGGTGGTGTAGAGCCTAAGGCACTTGACTGCTAACCAGAAAGCTAGTGGTTGAAACCCACCAGCCACTCCTGGGAAGGAAGGTTGGGCAATCTACTTCCACAGTGATAGGGCCTCGGAAACCCAAGGAGGGGTCGCTAGGAGTTGGGGACGACTCGACAGCAGTGAGAAAAAAAAATGTAGTTCACAGGTATATACAATATGGTACTAACTGACCGATATGCATTTAATGGAAATGTTAGGATTATTAATACTTTCAAATATTAACAATTGGTTCCTGCTATGTTTCAGGTCCCATTTGGAAGCCAGTTCTGATCAGTGGAAGCGTCTGCATCTTTCTCTTCAGGAGCTTCTTGTGTGGTTACAGCTGAAAGATGACGAGTTAAGCCGGCAGGCACCAATTGGAGGCGATCTTCCAGCAGTTCAGAAACAGAACGATGTACACAGGGTAGGATATTTTTCAGCCTAGTGCCTTGCACATAGTAAGCATCCAGTCACTATCAGTGACTATTTTACAATTAGTTTTGAGTGAAATAAAATTGAATAGAAATCTTTTTCACTCCCTATAGTCCAAGGGTGAATTATAAACAACCCAACCCATTATATTAAAAATGCAAAAGCATCTGCATTATTAATATCCTTTATGAAATTTTCCACCTGCTTTGTTTTTTTTATTTTTTACTTTTTATTGTGGATAATATAAAACATACACAAAAGTAGACAAAATTGTATCGTAAACTCCCATAGACCAGCAAGACTTCAACACTTATCTATTCATGGGCAATCTTATTTCTTCCCTAACTCTACCCCTTCCTCCATTATTTTCAAGCAAATTCCAGGCACATATCATGTTATTAATAAATATTTCAGATAATATCTCCAAAAGATCAGGAGTAACTTTTTATAAATAGTTACAGCACAATAATTTCAAAATATCCAGTCAGTATTCAAATGTTCATTTCTCTCATACCAAAACCAAACCAAAATCTATCATCTATGGTTATTGGCTTCTCTTGCTTGTTTATAGTGGTAAAATACTTGTACTTGTTCAACCCTCTTATTCTGAAATCTCAAAACCAGTGACATGCTTTTGGAAGATGGCTATGTTAGTGATAGATAACATGCACCAGAGTGAAATAACAAATCCCCACATGGTTTGTGTGCTTGCTCGATTATCTCCTCTATTGCCTTTTATTGACTTATCAGGACTTCCAGCCCATTGATAACTGTGTTCTATACATTAGTTCTCCACGCTTCTATCTCTTCCTCCTTCCAAGTCCAATTTAATAACCCTTTCAGGAGATGTCGCTATGAGTCGGGATTGACTCAATGGCAGTGAGTTTTTCTTTTTTATTACTGAATTAATTTTTTATTTGTGCTATTTTATAGATGTAATGTCTTTTTCACTAATGAAATCCATGCTGAATTATTGAGTGTTTTTAAATTTCTGTTAGGGATGTAGATTTTTATAAATATTTTATGGGATACATATGTCCCAAGGGACTCTCATGGTAGGATATATGGGATTGAATATTACCTAATCCTGAGCACCTCATCTTTCCCATAACAAGTAGGAGACAGTAAATATATTTACAAGCCTTATCTCACTGTGCAAAAGCCTAAAGAGACTAACGTTTTACACAATCACTCCTCCAGGATTCACTATCTCACACAATAACCTCTTAACACAGCAATATGTCACTGATAAACTTCCTTCTGTTTTATGCAGTTACACAAGTCCCACCCTGATGCCAGCATGCACTATAGGTGGGGCAAAAAACCTCCCAAGAAACACCAGAGGTAGAAAATGTAAGTGGTACTTATACGTACCACAAGTTACAAGAGAGTTAAATTCAATCATCAACCATTTCAATAACTCTTTTCTAAGATCCTAAAATCCTTTACTTCTTTTTTTGTTTGTTTGTTATTGCTACAGTCTACAAACCTAAAAACCTTGGAGAATCCAAATAAACACTTTCTCCTTTCCTATATGCAGACAACAGCAGGGCAGGTTGGCACAGTACCTTATCATGACAACTAACATCAACTCTTCCAATGCCAAGCCATCATTTTGTCAGTTTGCCTTGACCCCGTCTACTGCTATAATCACCATAGTTACAAGAGGCAATTTCTCCTAGTTTTTTTTTATTCTGCCTTTATGCTTGCCATCCTCCAATTCAATCTCTGCATTTCAGTCAGAGTAATCTATGTAAAAACAGAAATTGAATTATGTTATTCCTGAGCTTAACATCCTTTAATGACTTCATATAATGAAAAAGCCCTCAGCAAGGGTTACAAGGCCCATTCTGGCTAGTCTGGCCCCACCCTTCTCTTTTCTTACCTCTCTTCCCCTTGGTCTCTGGACACCAGCCTTACTGCTTTCTTTTGTTCTTGTTTTCCAGTTCTCCATGTTCCTCTCAGGCAGGGCTCTACACATACTGATCTCTCTGTCTGCAGCCCTTTCTATCCACACATATATCATCCCATACCAGTTTCTGTCGAGTGGATCCCAACTCATGGTGATTCATGTGTGACATAGTAGAACTATGCTTCATAAGGTTTTCAATGGCTGGTTTCTCAGCAGTAGATAGCCAGCCTTTCTTCCGAGGCATCTCTAGCTTGACTTGAACCTCTAACCTTTGGGTGTGTTAAGCATTTGCACCAACCGTGGACTCCTACCCACACATATCCTCTCATAATTTCCTGCTTAGCGTCTAACAATCCTTTATGTCTTAATTCAGACACCAAGTAAGTTTTTCCTCTGATGCTCATAGTTGATCAGATCTCCTTGTTATACATTCTTTTTTTTCATACCATCTCTTTTTCATTTGATAAATTCCTTCTGTAACAGCATTCTCTGTCTGCATACATGCATGCATGTGTATCACGTGTATATGTACATTATGAACATGTGTGTCATGTATGTATGGCAACATGTGTGAGTGTTTATACATGCATTATGTATGTGTGTGTATTATGTGTGTATTTGATTAATATCAGTTCCCTTACTAAACCATGCACGCCAATCTTTTTTGGGAGGGGCAAGGCAGGGGGTTGCCATTTTTATATTCAACACTTGAAAAAGTGCCATACATGGTAGGCACTAGATAGATAAAGAGGCAAAGGAATCAAGGAAAGAAGGAAAGGAGGGAGAGAATAAGGGGGGAAAAAGAACCACCATTGATCTAACCTTAACCTTTTTCATTTTCTCCAGACCACGGGCAGGGAAAGAAAGAATAGCAAATGATGTTACTTTCTCACTTGCAGGACTTTTCTGTTTATTCCCAACTAAGCATCCTTTTATAGTGTGTAGAGGTACTTTCATGCCACTGTCTTTACTTATTGTCTGGCCCAATGCCTATATGTGCTGTTCTCTGTATCCTTAAGAAAAATCCTTGGCACAAAACACTCTCCTTCCTCAAAGAATATCATCATTCCTGAGGGTCAAGGAGAGAACAAATTAGCATCCTGTTTCACTCAGAGTTTGTCACATTTATGCAGTAGCTTTTTTCTAGTTGTAGTGGAAGGGCTGTCTAGTTAGTGATTCTCTTGTTGCCTGTGGACAAAAAGAACAAAGGAAAATCCTTGAAATGGAGTCTCTGTACCAGATCTTCTGGAAGAGAGAACAGAAACATGATCAGTACAAAACTCTATCAAGATTAAGTCTTTGATAGATTTTGTGTTTGTAGACTTTTGTTTTACTTTGCCATATTTCCAGGATTATAAATTGTCTTTCTCTTTATGTTTCTTGATTGAAACACTGTTTATATACAATGTTTGATATCGAGATTGGTCACTTGTAATCATAAACTTGTTTCCCATATATTTGTGTGTCACATTCTTTTTAATCACCTGCTGACTGTCTATTAGAAATTATTAATGCCCTTGAATTTTGCTTTCTATGGGAATACAGAGTTGAAACTAGTGAATAATCAAATATTGTCCATTTTAAATTTTCTTTTCTATAAATCAAGATGTTCATAAACAAGGTAATTCATATTTCCTTTGTACATCATTGCAGATTAATGCTAAAATTTTAAAGCTAGATATCATATGTCTTGTAGACTTTTCTTAAGGGGAAAATACATAGTCAGTCTCAATACTGTGATGGAAGAGTGTATTTTTTCTGTAGGTAGAATTCCAAGATAGTTCACACAGGTATTTGGGGACTGCAGTCTTACTCCTAAAGCAATTTTCACACCCATGGGAGTAGATCTATGTTTTCAATCCAGCTGGGCAGCATAACAACTGCAAATGGAATGACTCTCAAGACTAATTAATGAAATAATGCTCCATATGAGATGATGGGTTATAAATAATTAAAGCTCAAATGTGCCTTAGCAAATATAAACTGACCAATTTTTATAACTTTTGAATACATTATCCTGGCTTTTACAGTTCCTCATTACTTGCCTCACTAGACTGACTCGTTTTCAATTAGTGTTTATTATTCTGGTCCAGATATATTTTAAAAATTGACTTCCTTTGTTTTCCTTGAGCAGCCACTAAAGTGATATTTATTACTTGTCTACTTCTGTGATTAACCTAGAGAGAGTTTTAAAGGAGCAAATCATAATGGGGAATTTCTAAGGAGATCCGCAATAAACCATGACTTTATTTAATTCCTTTACCTTAACTCAAATCCAAGTGGAGATTAGGTCTTGATTATAAGAACACTGTAGGTGATGACTTTTTGTTTGCATTTTTACTAATGAAACTGTTGTCATGAGGTTTTCATCTTTCAATTTAAAGATCTCTATAATCCCTTCCTTAGAGACCATTAAAGACACCTTCAAAGCTTCCTCAGAATTTCTGGTTAAGATTTGAATGGGAGTAATCAATACATACATTATTAAAACAGTGGACAGAAAGCCATTATTGCTTGGGTGCTGTTGACAAATGAAAAGGCATGAATAAAGTAGTTTACTTATTCATTTCTCAAGTCATATATTATGCATGTTAGATTTCCTCAGAAGGTACCACAAAGTGAGAGAGAGGTTCAGAAATTCAATAAAATTATCCCGGAATCACATAGTAGATTGTACATTCATTTTGGCTAATTTTGTTATCAATGTTGTCCTGCTTATTTTGGGTCCATTTTAGTATGTGTGTTAATTTGATGAGTTTCCTTGGTTTTGTTTTTGTTTTGCCATTGAAATAGAAAATGGCTTTGGGTGATATCTGTAAATGTTAAGATTCAAGTTATGTCTGCATTAAGAAATATAGTCTCACCTCTGGAAAACAAGAAAAAAAGGTATTGATAGAGTGATTCATTCCAAGATTTGGTGGCCCAGCCTCTAGCAGATTCTGAACACATTTGGTTCCCTGCAAAGTTCACTGCTAGTCATGCCTGCTATAAGATGTACGCTTGGCTATATTGGAGAAAATAGACATCTTTTTGATCTATTCTTCATCACTGATAGCGTAAACTCCTTTTGCATAAGTTTG